TGGGTTGGGTTGGGATGGGTTGAGTTGGGTTGGGATGGGTTGAGTTGGGATGGGTTGAGTTGGGTTGTGTTGGGTTCAGTTGCAATGAGTTGAATTGGGATGGGTTGAGTTGGGATTGGATGGGTTGAGTTGGTTGGGGTTGGGATGGATTGAGTTGGGTTGGGATGGGTTGAGTTGGGATGCGTTGAGTTGGGTTGGGTTGGGTTCAGTTGGGATGGGTTGAGTTGGGTCGTGTTGGGTTCAGTTGCAATGAGTTGAATTGGGATGGGTTGAGTTGGTTGGGACGGGTTGAGTCGGGTCGGGTTGGGTCAGGTTGGCCGAGCAGTGCCCCCTGGGCCACACCAACCCCCGCGTGCGGTGCCAGGGACCCGAACGAGCCGTCGGAGCGGGAGCGGCGCTGGCCGTCCTACACGGCGGCGGGGCAGAGCTACGCCCGCCTCAACGCGCAGCCCCTCGCCGTGGCCCAGGGGCTGCGGGCACAGGCCTGCGCCTTCTGGACACGCTTCCTGCCCAAGCTGCTCAACGTCACCGGTGAGGGGACACCGGGGACACTGCAGGGGAGGGGGGGACACGGGGGACACCAGGGGGTGAGGGAACAGCAGGGAGGGATGAGGGAATAGCAGGGAGGGATGAGGGGACACCAGGGAGGGATGAGGGGACACCAGGGAGGGATGAGGGGATGCCGCACACACCAGCGGCATGTGGGGACACCAGGGGGAATGTGGGGGGACATGGGAACATGGGGGGTAGATTTGAGGGGTGATTTGAGGGGTTTGGTGGGGGGGGGGTCCCAGAGCAGGTGGAATCGGTGGAGCCGCAGGAGCACCTGCAATTTTGGGTGAAATTGGGTTGGATTTGGGTGGGTTTTGCAAGATTTTAGAGGGTTCCGGTTATTTTAGGGGGGTTTCTGGGGGTTTTGGGGGTCCCTGATTCCAATTTTGGGGTCCCCTCTGCTGATTTGGGGTTCGGGGGGAGGGGTCCCAGGGCCGATGGAGGAGGCGGAACGTCAGTGGCGCCTGGAATTCCACCGCTGGAGCTCCTACATGATGCGTTGGAAGAGCCAGTTCGAGCTCTACAGTCGACAGGAGCGGTGCCAGCCCCTCTAGGGACCCCCAGATCCACCCAGGGCACCCCAAAAACCTTCAGCTGGACCCCAAAACCTTCACCTGCCCCCCCAAATTCCCCTAACCCCCTCCAGGACCCCAACCCCTTCCCCAGAGCTTTACAGTCCCCAGGAGCAGTGCCAGGCCCTCTTGGGACCCCCAAAAACCCACCCAGGGCATCCCAAAACCTTCAGCTGGACTCCAAAACCACCGAGGACCCCTCAAAACCTGTCCAGGGACCCCAAAACCCACTTAAGACAACCCAAAAGCTTCAATCCCCCAAAGCCATGCAGGACCCCCCAAAAACCAATCCAGGGCACCCCCAAACCTACAGCTGGACCCCAAAAAACACCCAGGACACCCCAAAACCCACCCAGGACCCCCAAAACCCAATTGCTCCCCCCCAGCACCCCAACCCCCCTCGAGACCTCCCAAAAACACTGTGGATCCCCGAGTCCCCCCCTAAATCCTCATCTCTCCCCTCCCCTACCCCTCAGGTGTCACCCCAATAAAGGCTCGAACCCAAACCCGCCTCTGGGGGGACCCCAAAAAATTATTGGAGGTCAGGGGGGAAGCTTTGGGACCCCCAAATTTGGGGGGGTGGGGCTGTTTGGGGACACTAAATTTGAGAGGGACACCCATGGGGGACACCCCCAATAAAGGGAAAGCTTTGAGACCCTCAAATGTGGTGGGGGAGGGGACACAGGGACCCCAAATCTTTGGGGAGGGGGGGCAGGCATGGGGGACGCCCAAATTTGGGG